TTTCAGCCACCTGGTATTTGACAAATGGGCCAAGAACATTCACTGGAGGAAAGGCAGCATGTTCAGCAAATGGTGCTGTCAAAACTGGATCTCCACCTATAGAAGAATGAAAGTAAACCCCTATCTTTCACCTTGCACAAAAGTCAACTCCAAATGGATCAAAGACCTCAATTACATCAATTTAAAACCTGAAACTCTGAAACTATTAGAAGAAAACATTGGCAATATATTGGCAGTAACTTACAGGGGAAAGTATTTTCTAAACCGGACATCAATTGCTCAGGAATCAAGGTCAAGAATCAACAAATGGGGCCTCATTAAACTAAAAAGCTTCTGTACATCAGAAGAAAAGCAGCAGCAAAGGAAGTGAAGAGAAAACCCACAGAATGGGAGAAACTCTTCACCAGCGACACATCTGACAGAGTTTTAACATCCAGAATATATAAATATATAATGAACTCAAAAAGCAAAGAATCAAGAAAGGGAGTAACCCAATTAAAAATGGGCTAAGAGGGGCTGGAGAGATGGCCCCAGTGATCAAGAACACTGACTGCTCTTACAGAGAAGCAGGGTTCGATTCCCAACACCCACATGGCGGCTATCCTTAACTCCAGTTCCAGGGAAATCCAAAGCCCTCTTCTGACATCCGCTGCATTCCATGACACAGGTGCGCTCACATACATCCAGGCAATACACTCATACACATAAAATAAACATAATTAAAAAAATATAAAAAAAGATGGGCTAAGGAACTGAACAGAGAGTTCGCAAAAGAAATAAAGATGGCTAAGAAGCATCTTAAAAGGTGTTCAACATCATTATTAATTAGGGAAATGAAAATTAAAACCACTTTAAGATTTCATCTTACACCAGTTAGACTGGCTGAGATCAAGAGAACGAATGATACTAAATGTTGGAGAGGATGTGGGTAAAGGGGAATGCACATCCACTGCTGGTGGGACTGCAAACTTTTTCAACCCCTATAAAAGCAATGTGGAGAACACTTAAAAAAACTAAAAATGAACCTAGCATTTGACCCAGTTATACCACTCCTTGGCATATACCCAAAGAACTCGTCCTATTGCAGAGACACTTGTACATCCATGTTTGTTGCTGCTCTTTTCACAATAGCTAAGAGATGGAAGCAACCTAAGTGTCCCTCAACTGATGAGTGGATAATTAAAATGTGGTTCATTTAGATGATGGAGTTTTTACTAAGTGGTAAAGAAAGATGAAATCATGAAATTTGCAGGTAAATGGATGGAACTAGAAACTGTTATACTAAGTGAACTAACATAGACTCAGAAAAAAAAAAGGCCCATGGGAGTTTAAGTGATTCAGATAATTATCTCAGTCATGCAACATTTAAACTCAGAGACCAAACCCTTGTAAGTGAGTATGCATCCAGACACATAACTACAGGAACCAGGATAATGAAAAGGAACCAGGGAGGTAAAGGAAAAGAAAGAATCTGAAGGAGAAGAACAGTAGGAAACAGGCATTAATAAAAGAGATATGGGTTAAAATGGGTTTATTTTAAGGGGAGGGGGGAGGGAGTGTTATACAAGGAACCTTGGGGATAAAGCGAAAGAGGGAGCTGAAGAGAGGTGGGACCATAGGAGAAGGGCATTAATAAGGGAGAAATGGGGAAAACGGGGGCACCTTAAATGAGGAAACCATGGTGGAAGGGTTAGACAATGCGAGAGATAAATAATGCCTAGCTAGTTTTAAAAAAACCAGAGGGAACCATAAATCAAACAACCTACTGACAAATTATACATACATACAACTAGCTCAAGGAATATATGTCTAGGGAAGGTTTATCTAAGAATCTTTGGTCTTTGACCAAGGTTTATCTACATAGCACATGGTAATTAAAAGTACTAGACTGGTGGAAGTAAACTTCTTGGATGTTTAACAGCCATACTTTGAGGCCTATACTAATTTGGTCAGGGGTACATAAAGGACAGTTTTTGCTCCTTGCCTTCCTAGGTCGACTAAGTTCTAGGGGACTAAGAGCATATCTCAAAATGTCCTGTAACTGTGATTAGCCATATTTAAAATGTGAAAAATTTCAGGAATATATCATATTGGCGGTAAGCTGCTTATAATTTTTTATTATATTTTAGTGCTGCTATTACTCAAAAATTCCTGTGATGGAACTTAGTATAAAGTTGTACTAAGGCATGGGGTCTTTGAGGTGGGGTTGTAACTCAGTGACAGAGCAAATGTATGCATGAACAAGACACAGGGTTAGTTTCCCAGAAACCCCGCCCCCCAAATTAGGTGGGGGGGCCTTTTTGGAAATGATTAAGCTTCTTTATGAATGGGATCAGTACCTTTATGAAAGAGGTTTAATGAAGCTGCCTTTCCTTCTTCATCTATGTAAGAGTTCAGGAAGAAGGTGCCATCTATAAGGAACAGGCCCCCACTAGACTCTGAATTGACCAGCAAGCACCATGAGTTATCACTTCTCACCCTCCAGAATTATAAGAAACAAATTTTGGTTGCTTATAAATTACTCAGTTTAAGGCATTTTGTTATACCTGCTCAAACAGACTATAACAGTTTTTTAAATAAAAATAATATAAAGGTTGAGGTGGGTTTTCTGAGAAAACCATAAAAAATGAAAATTAAAACAATAATGCATAAAATATAAGTAACTTATTAATATATTATTCTTTACACCGGATACAGATAAGCTCTACAGACATTTAAAGTAATGCTGTAAGTAATTATTATGCCTTTTGGCCTCATCACTGGTTAGTCAGCAACACATACCTCTTAGCCTGGCTGATGCTAATGCCTGCCTCCCACATACATGCAGAGGCATGTGCTTGTATGAAGGTCATGATTTACATATGTTATTTTCTGTCTTTGAAAACCTTTGATAGAAATATTGAATACATATTGGACCAGTAAGATGGGTCAGCTGGTAAAAGGGCTTGCTGTGCAAACCTGAAGACCCGAGTTTGATCCCTACATCCCAACAGAGAGTGAAGTGACTTTGGAAAAGTTGTCCTCTCTTACAAGTGCCATGACGCTTGTGCACGCGCGCACGCACACACACACACACACACACACACACACACACACAAAGAAATATTGACTATATATTGCTGATTAACTGACATTTTCCTGTTTAGCAGATTAATCTTTTCTAGTTTAACAACTTGGCTCTATACTTCCAGTTCACCAAGTGCTTTTACTATGCTACCCACATCTCCTTCCTTATTCTCTGTATTCTTATCACATATTTTTCTGCTCTTTCTAGTCTTACTGCTACCAATCAGGAATTCACACTTAATTCCTGACAGCTTTCTTATCTTCAGTAGATATTAAAAGTTAGTTCATTTTCAAAAGTGTATTTGTACTTTTTTGCAAGCCTTAATTTAAGCCTTATTTTTTTTCTTCAGCTTTCCAATATTCTTACTTCTTTCTTCTCCTTCCTTAAACAGTTAAAATGTGCGCCATTCTGTTTGTCCAGTTAGGAAATAAGGCAGTAGTGGCTGGAGAGATGCCTCAGCAGTTAAGAACACTGGTTGTTCTTGCAGAAGATCCGGGTTCGAATCCCAGCACGCACATGGCAGCTAACATCCGTAACTCCAGTTCCAGGGGATCCGACAGCCTCTTCTGTTCTCTGTGGGCACTGCACGACATGGGTGGGTGCACTTACATACATGCAGGCAATACACGCATACACACAAAATAATAATAAAAAATATTTTTAGAAAAAGAAAATAAGACAGTAAACAACTGTATTAGAATGATCTCTGGGAGCAAGAAAAAGGTAACATGATGCAGACTTTGTTCTTGAATAACATCTAGTATTTATGTAGTAGTCTTTAAAGGAATTGCTTCAGTTCTTCAACAAATTGATCATTTTCTCCATTTAACAGATGGGAAAACAAAGATACAGAAAGCTAAATTATTTTAAAGCCATAATTCTTCAGGTGAGAGAGAGAGAGACCCTGATTGTTATGTAAAATATATATATATATATATTTTTTTCCCTCTTGCTAGTGTACAGATCCCTAATTTCCAGTCCTTTGAAGTGAAAGCATCACAGCTTAAAAAATGATAGGGGAGACGGTATGTAGTTCACTGTCACTGATGTATTTAGGGTTTGCCTAGCATAAGGTCCTCTTGTTACAAACACACACACACACACACACACACACACACACACAAACACACATTGAACAGTGCTGTTTCCTATTTTTATCCAGCAACATTCAAAATTATATAGCTACAGCTGGATTTAAGAAAATTGACATGATTTACACCAGAACACCAACTCATTAGCAGGGACAGAATTAAAAGCCAGTATGAAGCTTATCTAGTTTTTCATTTTTCTGTAATCATCTCCTTCACAATGGAACAGCAGCATTTAATTAACTAATTTCACCCCGAGGAAAGGTAAACCTCGAGATATGAAGGGCGAATGTCTGTTTCCTAAGGGAGGCTCATACACTTTCACGTATGTGGATTTAGTTTCTTAAAGTTGACAATGCTTTTGCACACTTTCAGAGCCTAATTCAAAACACACAAAACTGATTTTCATTGTTGGGTTCTCTAGGAAACATACGCTGTGTAGCTACGATTTTCACGACTTTGTCCTGGGCAATGTTTTAGGCTCAAGCTGGAGAAAACTGGGGATCCTTTCTGCCTGCACCTACGTTTCATGAGAACGTGTCCTTCTCTCGCAATGGAAACATCTTACTCCACTTCTTCCTGCACTGCTTGTCTTTCCGCAATTCTCGTTGGTAAGTACTGCACCGCCGCCGCCTTTTCCTCCGGGCTCTCCCAGTCTCCTTCCCTACCCCAGATTCAGGGAGCATATTCCACGCCTCCACCTCTCCTCAGCCTGTCTCCAGCTCAGCTTCCCGAACCCCACCCAGAAGTTCCGCGGGAACACGTGCGCATGCGCACTACTATCACGGCGTTGCTTCCTGTTTTGCTTGTTCCGTGCAATTTCTGATTCGCTACCTCGACATCAACTCAAGTCTCACGATACTTGTGTTCGGCAGAGGTCGCGTGTTGGTTCCTGTTTCTGGCGGGCCCTTTTAGGTCTCCTAGTCTGAGGCGCTTCTCCCTCTGCCGGAAACCTTCCGACTCAACAGCATGACGTCCGCCCTGGAGAACTACATCAACAGTATCCTTGGGTGGCTGCAGGGATGCTGGGGCCGTCGGGGTGCTGGGGGCACCGGGATGCTGAGGCCGTGGCGATGCTTGGGCGCGGCGGCTGGACTGGAGTGGCGGGCTGAGGACCCGGGCCGCAGTTCCTACAGATCCCCGGCGTCTTTCTGTTCTAGAAAAACATTGCAAAACATCAGAAATCTCAGTGTAATATTCAGAATTTTTCTGTAAGTACCCTAGTGATTGATAGTGAAATTTTCTTTAAGGTTTGTATGTTCTACTACGAACTGTTTTCCTAATTGTCATCATAGTTTCTTGTATTTATTCACAAGCTTTGCTCATTGTCCAAGGATAGGAAAAAAAAAAAGAAAATGGTACATTAATTGGATTTCTGGGCTCACCACTTGAAGTGTCAGTTTGGTACATTCTAAATATAGCCTGCTATCGTAATGGATTTCGGTGAGAGGCAAATAACTTTAAGAACCCATTATGAGGTTTTAAAGTAGTCGAAGTTGTTTGCCATTTAGTCTTAGGACAAAAACATTACTCGAGTTTATGTATGAATAAGCGATGAAAGTTAAATACTGAGGGTTTTTAATTATGCAAACATTGGTAAGTTGGCATTAATTATAGTTTTTCTTTTTCCATTTGAATTTCAAAAACCAGGTCTTGGAAAAGTCTGAAATATTTGTAATTATACAACAATGATTAACACTCATCCAGTTTTTATTTTAGAGGTGAAGAAATAGGCCTACCAAAGGAGGGATTGTCTTGCTCACAGTGTGTAGGAACATTACTATTTTAAAAAGAGTTCCCAAAATGAAAGCTGTTTTGAGCAAGATAACACTGTCCCTCTCTTGTGTAATCAAAGTAAAGTTTTAAAACTTTATTTAAAGTTTATTCCCTTTGCTGTGTTGAATCTCAGTTCTCTCACTTAAAAAAAAAGAGTAATTCAAACTGTCGAACTATTGACTTAACCAGAGTCTGAAGTTTTGTTTGTATTCTCTAAGAAATACTTTTCCTTGACTCAGTTCTCAGGAACCGTAGCTGTTATCACTTCTGATGGGAGAATGATTGTGGTAAGTCTTGCGTTTGCCTTCACTTTCTTGTAGGCTTACTGGTTTTACATTTTGATTTAGAATTTCTGATCTAATGTGCCACAGTACACCAAGATCCTAGTTTTCTTGTGATTGAGCTATTTACGTTTATCGCTTGCCTGCCAATAAACATTTTCTTCATTAATAAATCTCCCATGTATGTTATATAGTAGGTTTCTGGTTGATAAACAATAGGGGTCTCTTAGTCTTAATTATAGATCTATCCCTTAATCTTTCCATTTTTCCTCTTCCATTTTTTTTTCCTTTCTATGTCAGTGTTCTATGATATTCACCACATAAGCTATAATTTCTTTAAAAATGTAGACTTTCTGACAACATATTCTGTATTTGTAGTCATAAGTTTCTTAACAATGGGAGAATCTATTCTTAGAAATAAGTCTTCAATGACTTCATTGTTCTTCAAAAATGAATATGCTTTCAGAACCTAAGATAGTGATGGTTCCACTGGTGTTAATGACCACTGTCATATTTTCTGTCTATTTTTGATTGAAATGTTTCTTGCATGACTGTAGCTTAATCCCATGTTCTTTGGTTTTACTTATGATTTTTTTGTTGTTGTTTTGTTTTCTTTTTAATCCTTATGATTCTTCTCACTCCATAGTGACCGATGCCAGTTGAATTACAGGGACTGTGCCATATACCAAATGCATAATGTGTGCTAGTACTTTGCATATGTTTAGTTTGCAGTATAGGCTTTCGAAGAATTAGCACTTAGACTCTAGGTTAGAAATCAAACTCAGAAAAAGTGAGTTACTTTTCCAGAGATTTGTTATTATATGTGGCAGAGCTATATGGTGTCTTAAATTCTGTTTTATTCCAAACCAAGATGAGTTGCCTTGTTTGCTCCTTAATTAAGGAAGCAAACATGGAGGTTTTGGGGGGGCGTGAAAAAATGGGAAACTCACATTCTGTATTTTTCAACAATGGACAGTTAGAAAAATGCTGGTTTCAACACTTTAAGAAGTCTGTTGTTTATAACAGATTAACAAAAGTTACTTTTGAAAACCCCATTTGAAATTAAATTTTATTTTATTTATCTTTATGTGTATGAATGTTTTTTCTGTGTCTCTGTACATGTACCGTGTGTGTGCAAATGCCCATGGAGGCCAAAAGGGGGCATCAGATTCCTTGGAACTGAAGGTAACAGTGGATTGTTAGCCACCATGTGCATTCTGGGAACTGAACCTCAGTCTTCTGCAAAAGCAGCAAGTACTCTTAACTTCTGAGCCATTTCTCCAGCCCCAAGTTTAAATTTCTTACTCCTGTTAATTAGAACATTTTTATGGGAGAAGAAAAGCTATATAAAACACATAGAATATTGAGTTCAGTAGTTCTGTATTTTTCTAACATATAGATACTTCATTAGATAGTTTCATAGGAAATGAAAGTGAGAAGTCCTGAATCCCCATTTATGGGTGTATCATTTGCTAACTATATAGTAAAAAATCTAATTTCTTTTTCATCTCAGTTTCTAGATTCTAAGTTTCTGTTTCATTCTGATTCTGTATATTTATGGCTCTTTTAGAACCTGAGAGTTTGATAGCTAACCTGAGAGATTAACACACTAAATCCCAAATAAGCTCTTTCAAAACCTGAGTAGAATCTGAGGTCCTACATTTTACTAGAGCCATGTCTTCCTATATTTAAAAGCAAACTTATTTCATAAAGTCTTTTCTATTTCAATTTGTTTCTGATTATAGTGATTATTTATGTCTACTGTAATACTGAGATAATTCAATAATAGAAATACTCATGAGATAACACAGTATTGGCAACAACAATGTTCTAAGTGTTAGCTGTAACTACCCATCGAGTTTGTATATATTTGTGGCATAAATTATTTCTGGAAAATAGAAAATATTGTTTATAATAGTATAGCATTGTCACTTAGTGGTCTTCTCTAGAGCTAGTCTTTTGTAGTTCAAATACCAGATCTGCTATTATTGTCTTATGAGACCTTGACAGATGACTGTTCTGGAACTTTAGTTTCCCTTCTTTGAAAGGGCCATAATTATAATTCTACCTCAAAAGATGAAGCAAAGTTGAAATAATTTCTGCTGTTTAGCACAATGCTCAGCACTAATAAGCACAACAAATTATAGTGATTTGTTGTATAGTATGTGGTTTGCTTTATTATATCATTTTCCCATAAATCAGTTACATTTTAGCTTGTGTTCTTAGACACAAGGAACTAGACTCTGCTAGTTCCTGGGCTATGTGAGTTTACTTACTATAAAATACTCTGGTTCCTAGGTTTCTTTTGCTGCACACTAGTCAGATGTGTAGTGTGGGCTTTTTCTTCCAGTTATGAAAGAACTAAGAAGTAAGTTCTGTTTCATAGAATATGTCTGTAGCTAAAGAAGACATTTTCTTTGATAATGGATTTATATTAAGATAGTAAATACTTAACCTGACACAATTAAAATGACTATAAGTTTGAATACAAGTTAAACAAGAATATTTCTCTTTTTCCTCTGCATGTCTTTTCAGGGAACACTAAAAGGTTTTGACCAGACCATTAACTTGATTTTGGATGAAAGTCATGAGCGTGTGTTTAGCTCTTCTCAGGGAGTAGAGCAAGTGGTCCTAGGATTATACATTGTGAGAGGTGACAATGTGTAAGTACAATAATGTCCTTTAAATGAAGCTAATTTTTACTAACTGATGTACTTCTTTGCTTTATTGAGAGAGATTTTCCCTGAAATATATGCTATCACTCATACATAGTAGAATTGTGCATTTATTTGGTTTTTGTGTATTTTTGGTCTTTTTGAAGTAGGGTCTCCCTGTAGCCCCAGCTGTCCTGGAACTCACTGTGTAGACCAGGCTGGCCTTGAACTCACAGAGATTGTCTGCCTCTGCCTCCTGAGTGCTGGGATTAAAAGTGTGTGCCACCATACCCGGCTCATTGATTTTGTAAATATGGTTTGTATTTGCTTAATATATTGCTATTCTGTTCTGTTTATATTAAGGTCTTTCAGGAACCAACCAAAGTGATCTTTTTTCACAAATCAAACATTGACCTCCTGAGATTCATCATTTATTTATTATTTGTTTATTTGAGTCTCTGGGCATTGAATCTAGAGTCTTGAGTATGCTAAGTAAGCACTCTACCACAGATCTATATCCCTAACTCTCTTTACTTTTTAAATTTTGAGATCATCTCGCTAAGTTGACCACACTGGCCCTGAACTTGAGATCATTTTCCCACAGTTTCTAAATAGCTAGATTTTAAGCCTGAGCTACCATTTTGTGTGTGTGTGTATGTGTGGTTCTAATATGAAGATGGCCTGGATAGGTCCAGAAGAGATTGCTTTGAACTAACTACTTCATTAAAGAGGATTTTGAAGAATTTGAAAAATGTCTTTGAAGTCAATTTTAAGTAATACATCCTTATTCAGCTGTCATTGTTTTTAGTATAATTGCTATATTCATGATAATCCATGCTGCACCTGTTGTCATGTTTAATTTAGGGCACTGATAATCCAGTTTGAGAATATTTTAGAGGTAGCAATTTTAGAAAGACCTGCAACCATTTTGAACAGTGCTTTCAAAAGAATTTTGTCTGATGATGAAAGTCTTACCAGCATTTTCCAATACTCTTGGCTCTTGGCTTTGTATGGCATATTGGAAAGTAGCTGATGTGATTAAGGACTTAAGCTATAAATTTTGGGTTTTGTTCGTTTGTTTTGGAGATATGGTATCTCAATATAGCCCAGACTCACCTGGAACTTTTTACATAGCCCAGAATGGCTTCAGATCAGACTCTTGATTCCCGTCAGCTTCCAAAGTGCCAGGATTGCAAATGTAATCCACCATGCTTTTAAATTTTTTTAATTAATTTAAAATTTAAATATCACTTAATTGTAATTGTAGTAGTCCCAAGTGTCTAGTTTTAGCCTAGTTTAGAGTTAGAAGAATGTTTCCTGAGAGTTAGAATGTGACTAGAGGACAACCAAAGAAGGGTTAGCCTCTTCAGGTTGTTTGATGGACTCTGTAAAATGATAGGTGAAGCAGTAATTTATCATAATAAATATTCTCTTAGATTATCAAAATCAGTACTCTATTCACTGTGTGTCTCAAAAAGTCAGATTTAGCTAAATACATTTATTGATCTTTCATTAAAATTGAGTTTATAAAATGTTCTCTGGAGATGACTTTTAGATGAAATTGTAAGGTGGGCTGTAAAGAATGAGCCAGAGCAGATGGAGCCCATGTTCTCTGACCACTGCACTACTGATAAAATAATATTGCAGTTATATGGCCTGGTTGATTTCAAGGTTTTCCTATGTCTGTAAAAATAAACCAAAATTAAACATTTACCCTAGACCCAGTGGTTGCAAGAGCCAGCTTGTAGGCACTCATGAAAACAAACTATTAAGACTTTTAGAAATTTTGCAAGTAAATGGATTGTCTTGCTAGTAACTTGACATTTCCCCCATGTGAGTTTTTGTGTGACAGTATTAGTAAAGGCTATAGATCAGGTTCTTATTTTTCCAGAGAGCTGATTTTCAGGCATTTTTTCCAGAGAGCTGATTTTCAAGCATTTACCATCATCTCTAATAATTGTTCCTATAATAATATCTTCAAATTCTTGAATCTTGTGGCTTACATGTATGGTTCACTGACTCGCAAAATGGTTTTTGCTTTCTACCTTAAGTAGTTTTTTACCCTGTCTTCTCAGTTTTATGTGTTTTGGAAGAATGATGCTAGGTTCACAATTTCATTAATTTGAAATAAATTAGAAATATGATTAAGAAAAAAATAATTAGAAAGTATGTAAGTTTTTTTCAGAAATGTACTTAACTTATTTTCTCCCCCATACTAATAGCGCAGTAATTGGAGAAATTGATGAAGAAACAGATTCTGCGCTGGACTTGGGTAATATTCGAGCAGAACCTCTAAACTCTGTAGCACACTGAAGAAAGAGCCACACGTTAGACACCTGTAAATGTTGTACAGAAACGGGGTACTCTCAAAACAATGCAGGAACTTTTTATGAGTATAATTGCTGATATTGACTTCATGTTGGTACATTGTAATATGTAAATTAAAATATTTCTACATTTTTATTGAAAAACATTGAAATTAAAAAATGTGGTTGCTTGATTTTATTTTTCTACTACATGATATGAAAATCTGATTGTTTTGAAAACTCAGAAAATATCAGTTATTTTCTGATCATTTTTAATATTTGTGGGGAGGTTGAAAAGAGACACCTAAGTTAGGTTATTATAGGTCATATGTCAAAGTAATAGTAGTGCAAAGTGTGTATGTTTTCTTCCTTGATTTTTTAGTCAGTTTTTTAATGAATTTTTTTCAGTAGCTCTTGTCTTTTACAAGTATCTGAGCCAGAGGTGTTTACCTACTGATTGCCTGTGATTTAAAAAAATTGCTCCTTGGTTATAAAAAAGCATAGATAAAAATTTGGTTGAAATTTGGTAAAGAAAAAAATAACAAATTTTATTAAATAGAAACAAATAGAGAAATAGGAATGATGGGAAGGCTATTGATAACAGTCTTTAGGAGTATAGTAAGTTAGAATAATGCTGCATATGCAAAAATTCAGTATCCGAGAACATTGATTTCACATAATCTAAAATGCTATGGTAGTGTTTCATTTTAAGAATATCTAATATTAAAAGTTTGTTTATACAGTTAAGTAAAGCTGATGCAGGAGCACTGTGTATTGTCTCACTCCTTGTTCACGTGATCCACAAATCTAGTTTTATGTGAGCAAGCTTGTGTTTTTTTTAAGAATTTATAGAAACAGTGTCATATTGTACAAAAATTCAGGCTAGTGTACAGAAGTCATCAGTGCAGGCCTAAGTGGGTGTCTTTGTGATAGGAAGAATAGAAGAAATGAGCACATCCTTCTAATTAAAATGAAATCTCGGATCTAGGTTTATGTTTCAATTTCCAGTTCTTTTTAGTGAAAACATTTGGCAATTTTTTCCCTGTAAAGATCCAGATAATAAAATTTTAGGCTTCGAAGGCCATGTGTTCCCCCTCATAGCCACTCTTCTGTGCAGCCTGAGATGACATGAGTGCACAGCCTTGGCTGTCTTCCCAGTACAACTTCCTTTACAAAGCCGAGAGGCTAGATTGGCCTGAAGGCCCTAATTTGATAACTTTGGCTTAAAAAATTAGTTCAGTTAGAAGAAATAAATGGCCAATCTGTGTAATTTCTGAAAATGACTTCTGGAATGGGTCCTTTTTGAATTTAGAGGTAAGTTGGATGCGCAGTTTAAAACTCTTTGACATTGTAGTTTTGGTTAATTAAAACAGAAACAAGCTTTGTGAGGAAATAGGTTGAAATAGTGTACCATCAGATCGAGCCTATACTGTCATTTTATATCAATTTAGCAAAAAAAATGAAAGTAATTTCAAATGAGTAAAGCAAATATGTTTAGGGACTATGAGCCAAATATACCTCTTTAATACATAGTATTTTAAAATTCCTAAACTAATTCCAAAAATTAATCAAGAACATTTCCTTTCTATGAAAAATTTATTCAAACAATTTGAAGTCCACAGATCTTTTCCTCCAAATACTTGCTATATCAAGTATTTTCCTGGTTGATGTTGGATTCCAAGTATGTTTGTTAATGGTTTATGGAAGAAGTGAATGAAGGTGTCCCAAATGATGTTTCTAATTATTCCTGAATTGACACGGTAGGCATTTTATATGCTCACAGCCAGTTCAAATTATATTCATTCTTGCCTGAGAACAAAGAGAACCTTTGTAGTTTCTGTGCAGTGTCAAGTTTTTATTTTTACGTTCTTCAATGATAGTTACTCTACAGTCGATATTATTTATAAAGTGCCTCAAGCCATTACTTCAGTGCTTTGTGACTCAGACATGGTACAACTTAAAAGCAACTTATTGATAATGAGTAAAATTTTCTTAGTAAGCTATTTTCATAAAAGTTACTGAAATGGGGAAAATAAGGCCTATAAAAGCTAGGGAAAGACTTAATTTTTTTCCAAAGTAGTTTAAGGTAACATTGCTTTTAGATTTAAAACATTTTGGTAAGCTAAATGGCATAATGACAGTTTGTGTTTAAAAAATGCTAGAAATCTTAGAACTGTAAACACTAAAGATAAAATTTCGTCAGTTCTTGTTTTACTTAACCTTAAGTTAAACACCTTTATAAAGTCATTCTCAAATTTTAAAGCTGATAATGTGAGAAGTGAGTTGAAATAAAACTTATATGTTTAATTCCAGTGTAGGACAGCCATGTCAGCATTTCTCTCTTCCCACACTGAAAGATTCACTAAGTGGCTAAGAAGGTACACAGCCCCCCATAATGGCATGGGAACCTTCTTGCCTAGTAGCCAAAGTTAAACAACCCGTAACCCGCAGTATGTTAAATTCTGGACCTTCACCTTCTAAACTAAGTAGAGTTTTTCATTAAGTGCACGTCATCTTCCAGATATAATGCTGGGTGCTTCATTTTACACGTGGGAAATTGAAGCCCCAATCCATCCAGGTTTTCTTACTTAATCCTGTGACCAGAAATGTGATTTCGGGCTGGAGTAACGGCATAGTGGTTAAGAGCACTTGACTGCTCTTGCAGAAGTCCCAGGTTGGACCCCCAGCACCAACATGGTAGCTAGCAACCATTTGTGAACGTTATATGACACAGGTGCACCTACCTACGTGCAGGCATAAAATAAAAATAATATTTTCAAAAAGAAAATATGATTTCAAAGTGAATTATCATTACCGTGATTAATCAAAGACAGTCGCCAAGCTGTGTTGTGGGTCATTTTCCTTCGAGCTCCTTCAGAGGCTCTATTCACTGTGGTTTAGTACATCTATAAGGGGACAAAAGGAATAATTGTCATTAAAAGGAAGCATGGTAGAGTTATTAAAAAGCCCAGCACTTGTATAAGTCTACCCCATAGATAGAGATGTTAATACCTATTTTCCCAGGCAGTGACAAAATTAGACTACTTATAATGCTTGTTACAATTTCTAGGATATAGTAAGCACCTGTTATCCTAACTATTCATAGGCCAATGTGGAAAGGTTCAACAATGGGTCTTAACACTTCAGTTTTTCTCTGTGTAGCACGTGTGTGGTTGAATGAGTGAGTGTCGGGGGCCTCCCTCAGGACCATGCTGGCTGTCCTCTCGTGCTCTGCACCTTAGTTTTCCAGGCAGTCTCTCACTGAAACTGGAGCTCACCAACTGGCTGTTTGGTCTGCCGCTGAGCCCTGTGGACCCTCCTGTCTCTGCTTCTGGCAGGGTCTTGCTGCATCCTGTGCCTGGCTTTTGACGTGGGCTCTGAAGATCCTACCTTAGGTCCCCAGCCTTGCAACTGCACAGCAGGCCTTTGCCCTGATGGTCAGCCCTCACTTTAGTTTCTCAATGTTCGTGTTACTGGCTGCTATGTCTGTGCAAAGCAGGAGTGTACGCTTTGAGTTCAGGTTCTGTGGAAGGTATGTATGTGTTTACATTATTTTAAAAATATATAGTGGAATTAAACTTGTTTCTAAGACAATCATGTGCCCTTGACTAGGAGCTTGAAAATGAAAATTCAAAAAGTTTACTTATGAGAAACCACTTCATTCAGAACTTAAACAGTTACTATCTCAATTCATGATTTAATTTTAATATCTAAATGCATTTAACTAACTTAGAGGCTCCCCCTCCCCCTTCAGAACATGGGCTACTTTGTTTTACATCTTGGACAAGTATAATATATAATTGATCTGTTTACATATGAGGCTGAAAGGAAATGTTGGCAGGGTGAAGCAGTTTCCGTCCAGTTCTATACAGACCTTTATTAGTGTAGTGCCAACTTGACCCACTGTTGGTTTAGTTATGAAATACCTGCTTCTACCTCATGTTTATGCAAAACTGTTCTGTGAAATTTGGTTAAGTGCTTTATATGATCTTCATTCTTCTATAATAGTGGGAGTTCTGTGACTTGGGCTTGGTTGATCTTTGTGAGTCTGTACCGCCTCCTAGTGGTCATTGCTTCCCTTTCTATGTGTCCACAAACCAAAACAGAATTTGGAATGTTTTCAGGAACATTTGCTGAGTCGTTAATAAATGCTGAAAACTGTGTATAAGCCATCGAACAAAATTAACACATTTGTCCTTGGGAAGCTTGTTTCTGTGGCACCTCGACCAAATCATCTTGATGCAAAGATTTATTTTAATTTCTCTAAATTCTTTTAGTATTGTAGATTAAAATTCATGAGGCTAGATTCACGTCAAGTCACTAAATGCTTTTTCTAGAGTTTGGAATCCTCATTCTTACACAGGATTGGGCCTCTAAATTCCCAAACCAAAAAAAATTCCCAATCACTTGGCCAGGTGGTGATGGTTGTGATGATGGGCCACAGGAACAGCAAGGCCCATGGTGAGAAGATGCCCTAGAATTGCAACACGTGGCCCAGGAAAGATGCCAATGAGCGAAATGAAGCCTGGGAGATCAGTACTGGAAGGGAAGCAGCAGGCAAATCATGTTGAGATACTGTCCAGCTGGTGACTTGGCTCAAGCCCACATCAGTTCCATGCAGCTTTCAGAGAAAAAAACCAAACATCCAAACAAACGACAGTAGTCATTAAGATGTATTTAGTGATATCCTCTGCATGTAACATTCAGGTAGATGCTGCAGGACACCTTTGGTTTATTCACAGGCCATAGAGAACCATTGTATTACGATCTGAAGGGCAGCAATGAATTCATTCAAACTAACCTTAGCCCCATTACAGTGGCAGAGATGGTAAAAGAAAATGCAAATATCTAAAGGACAAGATAATTTGAAACAAGTAATGGGGTCCATAAAACAAGTTGCTTCTGACAAAGCCAATTGCACTTTTGACAGTTATGAAATCACTCCCTTATGGGGTGGCAGTTAGATTCGAACATTATCAAGTCATTTGCCAGTTTCTCATGCAATTTTAAATAACTCAGATTAGACTGAAGGCTGAGCATCACAGAACGGAATGTGAAAACTAGCTGAGGGTCTGTACATAAAAATGTCCCAGGAACAGCATGTAGAGCATCACATGGAGCGTGACTAGGTTGCTCCTCATGTTTAAAATCTTGTTCCATTGAGTAGGTGATAGAGTAGAATATAAAAGTGTAAAATGGCAATAGCAATGTTTGGGGGTCTGTGGAATCCCACTGACCAACAGCTTGAAAGGGTAACATATACCTCACACTGGGGCTTTCTGACAGCCTATGGTGTCTGGGAGAGGCGTTGTCCCTGTGTTTTATATAGATAGATAGATGATAGATAGATATAGATATATATACTTTCAAATATATATGAAAATGTGGTGCAAATACATATATATATATTATGTGTGCATTATATATGTATATATCGTGTGTGTGTGTGTTTGTGTGTATGTGTGTGGTTATGCCATTTGTAAAAAGAAGTATAGGCTAACAAAAATCCCAGTGCAATCATGGGAAATCTCTCTTCTAGTTGTTGGTCAGGGAGTCCAAAAGACTCCCTAAACAATATAGACTATTGCCATTGCCCTTGGTTGCTTCCACAGTACTTGAAGGTAAGATCTTATTGCTGAAAAGACCACACAGTTTGGACCCTGGACTTGAAGGACTTGAGCTAGAGCTTACCTGGAAGCCTACTCCCTGAGTACCAGCTCTAATAGAAGATGCTATGCAAGCTGCCAAGGAAGAAAGGAAACCAATAGTTCTACCCAGCTGTAAAGCCTATAAACCATAACAATGACTGGCCCAGCAAGATACTATCAGTAGTACAATAGTAGCACTTTAATGCTTGGGGTAACAAGCCACTGTCTGATTGTCTAAAGCCCAATCAATAGGAAAGAATTTATGCCTGGTGCTGTAACTAACCTGTGGCTGGAGAGGTCATAGACCCTACAGGAGAAACTACTTTTGTTATTTTTCTAAACCGATATAATTTCAACTGTGTTCTAAATACTTATCCTTACACCCATCGTAAATGTGGCTATCGTCCCTCATCAAAGAATTTCCATCAGTTGGAGGTCACTACAGAGGTCCACAGACTGATCAAAATGCAGAGAATAAGTGACCGTGGGTTGCCTTGCCATTATTGATACATGTTCAACAGAACTCATTTCTTTTTTCCAGTTAAAATTGTTGAGTCTGTAGGCTACATAATGCTAAGGATGAAAGCAAAATAGAAATCACCAGCTGCAGTTTCTACATTAGCTAACAGTGACCATCTGCTACCTTCCTGCATCATTTGGAGGATGAATGGAGGTGAGAACTGAAGGACTTGAGATGTCTTCAAGAAATAAAGATGAATGGAGGATTGCACACTAACAGTTTAAAAAGCTGGGGTTTGTGTTAGACCCTTTGTACTTTATGCTCATTTTCATACACTTAATTCTTTTATAAAATATTCCTGGACAGAAGCAACAGAGATGAGGTATTGCTGCAAGTAGCCTCAAAATTCCATTCTACTGGCTCCACTTCAGTATTTTTTGACTATTTAGCTTTTTTGTTCTCATTAAGATAATAGTGAATTAGCTAAAAACATTTTTAGTTTTTTCATATGTTCTAGACTTGCAAGTACTATGAAATGAAAAGTTAATGAGTTATATTTGAAATATGTTAAAAAGTAATCTAGAATAAAGATTGAGCAGATGGGAGACATCTCTCTGGAAATAACATACTGTGTCATCTATTGTGAGGCAGAGGAAGTGGGGAGAACACATGTAGAAGATAATATATGTTTCACTTAATTTGCTTCACATCAAAAATTTCTAAGGAATTT